CGTCTTACTGGTGGAGAGCAATGTTTTAAGCAGATTTATCGGATGGTGCAACATCTTATAAGATTTACTTGCTGACAATTTTCTACATGGCACTGCATTACCCATTAGTTGAAACATCATTTGAGAATTAATTTAATTTTAAATTAAAAATGCAAGATATTTGCTTACCTGTATTGGCTAGCATTTAACACAATCCGAAAAACAAAATTTATAAAAACACCGCTCATAAGGTATTTGTAATAAATCAACTTATTAGCAATGCAAATTGATTTCGATATAGAGGTTAAATGTATCAGAAGCGAACTCATGCTTTCATTACCAATTACATATTTGATATGTTTTTCTATTGAGGCTTACTTACAAGTATTTTGGCCTCCATTACGAATGCGCATTCCACAAACCATTTGCATACCACGGAATTCTTCAAAAGGCCAGCCTACTCCCACTAAAAGCCGCAATCAAGCTGCAAGCCAAATCAAGTAACCCAGTATCAAATATCTAGAGGCTTCGGCACGCACTTAAGTGCCACACAAGGCAGGCCCATCGTCCAGTGATGCCCGGAGATCGCTGACTGACAGTGGACTGAAGGTTATCGGAACCTTCCCCAAGTTTCATAGTGTAAAATATCTTCCAATTCAATTTAATTCTTCTCTTACACTATACTCACATCGGCTTATCAGTTTTAATTAATTTAAAAATATTACATTACATTAGTGCAGCCAGCAGCGAAATTAAGGAACTCGAGAATCCAACAAAATATAAATGAGGCAAAACAGAAAGGACAAAATTATATTCTAACCAAATTGTATTTAAGGTATCAATTTCGTACGTAGTTGTAATTCAGTCGTATTTATTCAATTATGAGAAAATCGTTTGCTCTGTTACTTTAAGCATTTAAACGCCTAAGGGTGTTATTTGAACGTAAACGAAACCATATTAATGAGATATAGAAGATGCTACACGGCATATTCGTACATCCTAGGATTTTAATTGAAACGCTAGATATCAAATATCTGTTAAAATGGTTTAATATTGACAGCCCGTTCAAAAAATATGGCTTCATTCAGAAGATAATTTAATTTCAATAAATTCTCTGCGAAATTATCATCAGTTCTATTGAAACTCATAAACTTCCCATACTTCAACTATTTAAATGTTTTTTAAATGTTCTTCCCCGTGTTTAATACTCGTGTCAAAGCGGTTAATAAAGCTTTTTAACTTAATTTGATAATTGCTCAATAAGCATTAATACAGTCATAACAAATAGTCAAGTATTTTTTGACCAGAGCGTTCCGTTAACGTATACATATAAAATTGTTACATTTTTATTAAATTATTATTGTCTTACTAAAACCGTAAGTAACAACTAATGGTCGAGCTTGATGCTTATTTGTGTGGGATAGTACAAATTTAGATTTATTAATACGATTAAAATAACTTTAAATGTTTACCAAGACCGACTTCTAAACCGCAACCACACTTTGTACGACTTTAACTTTTTATAAAATTCCTCGACGACTTCTCCCATCTTCACTTCTGTCTTGCTGCACTCTCGACGACTTCTATATCGTCTTCCACTCGATTGTTTTCCCTTTTTGTCTTCGATAACCTCGATTAAAATAAATAGGGCTATTCATAAAATAAATTTAATACAAAAGCTGCACTCTCCTGATACTTTCGACTTAATTATAGGGTAAATAACTGATACTAACTTTACCAATCCTACATTTGTTTAAAAACAACGAAATTATCGAAATTTAATTCATCGATTCTATGGCAGCTTTAAGATATATGTAGTAGTCCGAAAGCGTAGTTCTGAAAACACATTATGTTGCAACATGGACATCATTTTACTAAATTGCAATGTTTTTAGATAAATGGAGCAATACTTTTATTGCAATATATGTAATATTTTTAGTAAAAACTATAATATATATGTGAAATCGTTATCGACTAGACGATTTGCCGGCGAAGAAATATTGGGTCGACTTCATTCACGCTGTCACGGCATTTCGTCCCACTGTGCTTCTCAGCAATGTTAATACAATTAAAAATCGACCAATTTTCCCCCAACTCGGCAGAGGCCCCAAGTTTCTGGCGGATATCCAAGGGCCACGGATGTTGGAAGCTGTTGTTGTAGCTGTGGGGCTGCAGATGGCAGCATGGATAGTTGTGCTAGGATGGGGTCCTCATGGAATCCGCCACCGATGTCGTGATGCCATTAGTCGTAAGTGGCATTTTCCTTTTGATTTTGGTGGCATTTGACTTTATTAACCAAAACTACTCTGAGGCAGCTCCGCTCAGGTGCCTGGCATGGCTGCGGCTCGGTGTCTGTGAATAGGTGTGGGGACCTGTCTGGTGGCATCGAAATGGGTCAATATGTGTGCACGCTGCCTGGGCGGCTCATGTAATATGTATTCAGCCGGCCGCACTCGAGTGACATCCTTGGAGACCTCAGCGAAATGAGCGGAGGAGGGTACTGTTTGTGTGTTGGGTGTTTGCATTTGGCTTATGCACGCGACGCCCTTAGGTTTAAGATTTGCCCGCTCGATTCTGGTCGTGACAGGACAGGAGACGGTGACTGTACCTGCTCAATCATTCATTTGTCCTTTGTTTATTTACTCTACTAATGGAATTATATTCTGCACCACTTGTTGTTCTCCGCAGCCTCCTTTTTTCGGTGCTCCGTGGGCTTGCCCGTCATCTGCAGGCTGGTGGCTGTAGTGCGTCATCTTTCCATTATTAAAACATATGGTTTAAGTGGTGACCGTCATACTCAAATATTACTTTTATTTGTGCGTGGCGAACAGCCTCAGTTCAATTAACTTCCTTCTTGCCTCCTTGCTTAATTGGTGTCCTTAGAATTGCCCGCTTTTTTATCGCGTATTCTGGAACTCTTAGATTTTCGCTTCTAAGGCTCCAGGCCCTGACAATGCTCCATCAGCGCAACACAATTTGCAAGCTGCGATTGTGGATCTTTTTATGCATTGATAATGTGTCAGCGGCAAGAGGGCCGAAGCCAAGCAAAGCCAAGGCTGTCACCACCTGGGAAGCCTTTGGAAATAGAGGTGCCGAAGGCATCGTCAGCTGTAAATCATGTGACATGTATTAAAATTACAATGAAGCCGGCACAAAGGCTGCTCGATGGATAATCCTGCGGAGGAGAGCCGGGTGGTGGAGCAGAGGCTTGGGGGCGTTCCAGGGACATCGGTGAGCGTTGCCAGCAGCAGAGGCTGGCGAATGGTAAGATGGAACTGTAATTTCAGCTTTGAATATATGCCAGAAGGGTTTGGCTCGGGAATGTCATTCACTGGCAGTTTTGGCATTTTCCCGACTTAATTCGGTTCTTTTCTTTGGGCCTTTATGTCGGGCAGACAATACACCTGCGCTACGCACTGAGCTGTCACTCCGTTTCCAAAGACGCATTCTATTGGTGCTCCCAGCTTCGTCGAGAAAATACACCCCATTTATTATTGTAATTTAATCAAGGCAGGCAAAGAAGACCAAGGGCCAGACTCCCATGCAATGGAGTTAAATCAGAGAAATTGTCATTGAGGCGAAATTGAAAGTAAATTCGTTCCTGCCGCTTCTTCTTCTCCTCTCTCTATTTATTACTGCAGCCCTTTCAGTGACTGCAAACACAAGGACAGACATGTAAATCAATTTGTCGAATTTTCTTTTTACTTTCGCTACTCTCATCCGATCGAGCATTTCCTGTGGCACGTAGTTGCTGCAGTAAGTTCGAGTAACAGATTGAAAGACAGGACTAGAACAATGAGTTGTAAAATAACAGAAGAGGCTTGGGGTTTGACACTCCTCCTATATTAAAGAATATGCCAACCGTAACTAGAAACTAACAAAATCTGCTTTAGCACATTAAATACCTAGAATTAATTTCTTAGATTGTTTTTTTTTAAACTTCTTATACATTTTTCTACAAGAGTTTTCTATATTCGAACAATCGGACTCGCGGTATTTTAGAGCACTTGTGCAGATCACTGGCGGTATTTTTCAGTCCCTTTTCTTGTTTTTTTATTTATTAGAAAAGCTTATTAAAAAATGAAAACAATTTAAAATTTACAATTTTTTTTTCCAATCTTCCTTTTTAAATTGTGCTGTTTTTATACCCTTGCATAGGGTATTATAATTTTGGTCAAAAGTGTGCAGCACAGTGAAGTATATATATTCTTGATCAGGATCGCGTCCTTAGTTGATATAAGCATATCCGTCTGTCCGTCTTTCTATGGGTTTTATTTTTGGCCAATCAATCCGACCAACCAAATTTCATAAGGATCGGCCGACTGTATCCTATAGCTGCCATATAACTGAACGATCGGAAATGCCATAACTTTGGTGTTTTTAAAGTTAGGAAGTTGCGATTTTTGATAAGTATTAAAAATGCATCACATGAATAATTTTGGAGAAAATAATTTACATAATATTCTGCAAGGGTATATCAACTTCGCCTCCACCCGAAGTCAGGTTTCCTTTCTTGTTTTCAATGTTTTTTCGCCATTTTTGGTTTTTGAATTTTAGGTATTTATTTCCCTGCTTTTTTTTTCCCTGTTTTTTTTCATCGCTTTAAAATGATTGCTAAACTTTTAGATCCTTACATGGAATTCATGACTACAAGGCGGCGCACAGTTTACATATATGAGGTAAAAAAGTTCGTTTTTGGTTGGAAAATTAAATATATAGTAAACTCTGGGATAATGTTTAATTACTTTGATTGAATTGAAACAAGTTTACCATCATTGGCTAGCAAAAGTTGTTTTAAAACTTTTTGCAAAACTTGTTCATGCTCAAGGATTCCTGACATGAAATGAAAAAAAGTGACACTTACAGAAAGCTTGTTCTCTTCTAGTCGGACTACAAGTTAAATGTTGACTTTCCAATTGTATGAATTTTAAATATAACGAAGTTGGAAAAACATAAATTTTCCTCCGTTGGTAAAAACTTGAAGCGATTTTAATGATTTTCCAATCTGATCCCATAGCCTTGTTGATACCGTCAGCTGTTTTTAAATTACAAATTTAAATTACAATTTATTAATATGCGCGTACACTCGACTTTTGTAAGACTTCTGATACTTTCACTGGGGCCTTTTCTCCAAGTTCTTGCTATACACAGCACAGGAAATTGCACCTTCGCCGACAATGTGCCGCTGAAGTTCGTGTGCAAGGGCAAGGTCCCGAAGGATATGTATGCCCTGTTTCGCGACAATCGAGCACCCCCAGACACTTTCTTCAGCGCGTGGGAGGGCGAGGAGAAGGACGGCGAGGACCCTATCCTCCTGATCTCGTTCTACAGCAAGCAGTTGGCGGACTACGAGAGCATCTCGCTGCAAGGACCAGTGAAAGGTTGGGAGGGTTACTTCTTTCTAGCGAACTTTGGGAACGACACCGACGTCTCTGTATTCATCGTACCATCTACCGTTCACTGCTTCACCTTAGGTCTGCGATATCCGTATGAGCTCAAAAGGCATTGCCTTGGCTATAGCTTGGCAAATGATGGAAATGACGTTGCCAAGAAGCCGATTCTACACTACGGCTCCCTCTCTTATAAAGGCCCTGTGACCTCAATTAGTGATGCGAGTACATTCAGTCCGTTGGGAGCCCTGCTGCTTGTCGTGTATGTGATGATCATTCATTGATTTTGTACCAGAAAACGCGATATCTTTTTCGGACTAATTGAAAAACAAAAATATAATTAAAAATATAAATTACCCTATTCAGCTGTAAATAAAAGCGCATGGTAGCCATGCCTTACCAGTCAGTATACTTACCAAACCCGGCTTAGGCCCCACTCAGATAGCCATGACTTGGAATCTGCGGCTACTGCTACTCGCGTACCTCCTACCCTCCTCCCAAGGCTCCTTCGACTCCTGCGACTTTCTGCTTGAAAACGATCTTCCATTCACGCTGGCCTGCGAGTCCCATTACAGCTCCGAGCTGAGGCTGAACTACCGAGACATTTGGGTCAAGGCCGACGCGCCCTACTGGCTCTGGTGGAGGCAAGAGCCTAGTCTTCAGCTCCTGGTCTCCTTTTACGAGTCCCCCATATCCCCCTGCACCAACGTCAGCCTGAGTCTCAACTGCCTCCACTGCTCGGACTCCGAAGAGCCCGGCATCCACATCCGACCCGAGGTCATCCACTGCTTCGACTTCTCGTTCTCATACGTACGGGAGCTGATGACGCACTGTGGCCTGACGCCCAAGGCGCAGATCACCAGCGTCGCCATCCACTACGCGAGACTTATTCCAGACCGGGAAATCCCCTCCCGGGCCGACCGAGCTCGTCCGTGGATCCCGGGACTCCTGCCCCTGAGGGGAAGTCGATGGTAAGGTAGGTACGAAACGCAAGGGCCGGGGGGTACGAGAGAAACTCCTGTCAAGCCAGATACTCTGCCGTTTTTATTCTCCTGGAAATTCCCATCAAATTTTTCGAAAATGATCAAAGAATCATTTGTCTATAAGCAATGCCAGTGCGCCTCTCCAGCGCACGAAGTCTGAATAATCCTCGTCAGCATCCCCGGCCGGTCTGGAGGCGTCCGAGATCGCCTTCGCCCTCGTCCTCGTCCTCGCCCTCGCCCTTGCCGTCGCCAACGCTCAAGGTCCAACCTCACTGCCCGCTCCCGCTGCCGCTGCTCCGGCCAGTGCTCGTCCTGCTGCTCCTGGTCATCCTCGCACCCGCTCCGGCCGTATGCGATGAGCCGAACTGCACCTTCATCGAGGGCTACATGCTGCAGTACGTCTGCCACAGCAAGTACGTGGAAGAGATCCGGCTGCAACACAAGGACCGCATCCCGGCCATCGGGACGCCGTACGCCATCTGGAGGCGGCCCGACACCAACGACCCATCCTACCTGCTCATCTCCTTCTACGACTCGCCGCTCTTCAGTTGCTTCACAGTGGTTATGAGCGACGGCAAGTTCTACTGCGACGGGCGCAACTTCATCGAGCCGAACACGGACGCCGCCCAGCTGCACTGCATCAACTTCCCGTTCCACTATACCACACACCTGTATGATTCGTGTGCCAGGACGCCGAGCCCGGATGACTCGCCGCCCATATCGGTGGCCATTGCTTACATGAAGGAAAATATCAAGAATAACAATCAGGCGGGACTTCGCGTGAAATGCCCAGCGTTTTTCCCCTTTCTTGTGCCCATGATCCCCTTTCTGATATCGCGATATTTTGGTATTTTACTATGTCAATAAAATGGTTCTGAATAGTTATCTGTCGATTAACGTTGGGGTCAACCACCTGGGACCTCCAGCTTGGCTTGAACTGTGGCTCCTGATGCCGTCACCTAATCCACTTCCACCGCTCTGCTCATCTGCGGGCTCGTTTGCCCTGTGATGGCATGCATTATCTCGAAGCTGCTTATTTTACTCGGATAAACAAAATGGGCGGGCTCTCCAACTAGCAGCTCAGCAGAGTCCATTGTAGTTGGCCAACTGGTTGTCGCTGCTGTTGTGGCATGAAATTTTAGACATCCCGACAATGGCAGCCAAATGCAGGCATGGACAGCCGCACACACAGGCTTAGCTTACTGCCATTTTCACGCACACAACAGCCGGGAAGGTACCGGGAATGGGGAGCATCACATTTCATTGTCGTCATTGTCATTGGCGTTGGCGTAATTTATGTGCTTATTTGGACTGCCGCCATATTGGCCTGTGGTGGTCCCACAAAACTCAAGGCTTGGTGGGAGTGGTTCGACAAAGGCTTTAAGCTATGTCATTAACTCTGTGGTGTTAAAGCGGTCTGGGACCTAAATCGTATACGCAGTGCGAAATTCTTCTTAAATTTTATTGATTAACAGGAGAACATAACAAAAATCACTTGAGAAAAATTTTGAGCAGGCAGCGGAAAAGCTCTTTATTCAGGCGTCCCTGCGATAACGACGTCTGTGGCAGTCGAGTTGGAGATCTTTCCGTCCCCAGCCTTCCTGTGAGATCGCATCCTCCCTGAGCCTTTTCCAGCTTTCGCACTATGTACAGGAGCACGAACATGGAGCAGAATCGCATTTTACACAGACGTGAAGTCGAAAAATATTTCGAATGACAGATGACTGAAATATCACTTTTGAAGCAAGGCACCCACCAGGCAGGGCAGCAGTGCACCACCAGATGACCGTCCCGCAGAAGACACCAGTTCCGTCGGCAGCTCCTCTGACTTGGAAGCGTAATGGATCGCAGCCTCTCCCTCCCATTGCCAAATCAAAAAACGTGGAAGCCTCGGCTTCGTGCACTCGCACAGCAAGTCATTCACATAGTTCATTATGTTCTTGTGGCAGAATATCTGGGAACCGGGCAATCCCAAAGGAATTTTAACGTCTCCGCAGAAGAATTTGAGATCATCGTTCAGCAGGATCGTACTGTTGCACCTTTGCAGTGGAGAGTCGTTGAAGCACACCATCAGGAAATATAACCCATCCTGGATTTGGTAAAATACTCTGTAAGGCGCATTGATGGAGGTCAGCCCGTCCTTGTACTTAAAAAACAGATCGGCAGTATAAACACCTCCGCAGAGTAGCTCTAGACGAGCACACTGGATAAAAGGACAGGAGCGGTCGTTCGACCCGTCCTCCAAAGTAACTGATTGTCGTGAAGCCGTCGCAATAACTATGAACAGTGAAATAATCAAATTATGCATTGTTAAAGTTTATATCTAAATGAAATTACTTTGAAAGTCAACTATGTGTACGCCGAGTAAGTGTATCGTATCCGCCTAAGCAAAATTCGATAGCAAACAAATTTAAAATGCTTATCCAAACATTCACAGTCAAATGCCGCTGCACATTGAATGGCAGCCATAGAATTCCCCGGTGATGAATATCACATTTAAAAAAGGTAAGGCAAAACGCCCAGTTTCCCTCCGCCGAGTCTGTATTATCATCATTAGTTTCTAACGTAGCCCAAACAAAGCCTTTCCTCCCACGCGCATGTCCTGATTTTCACACATGGTTGATAATGCACACACACGACGAGCCATACGCACACAGGATATAGAAAGGGCATGGCGAGCAAAGTGCGCATTTGCGTACGACTTTTTGTGAGTTTCTTTTTATTTCTTTTGAACAGCCTTTCACTTTTACCAGCACACAAATAGTCGGTGCTGAAAAAACATAATGTGAAAATGTAAGCTGTATGGGCCAAAAAATAGCTTGTAGGGCGCCCGAGCAGGGTCATGCCGAAAAGGCGCTGATGGAATGAACACTAATAGCAAAAGCATTAGGCTAAAAGTATTTATGCCTTATACGATTACAGATCAAAAAAAGTCACTGTTTTTATGAATTTTAAGAATGACAAGTACATGTTAGATTGCAATCTTACTCCAAACCTAAATCTGCGAAAACAAACAGCATAAAGGATATTATAATTGATGCTTTCCTTTTGCAGTTTCATTTAACTTTGATTGAATTAAAAGTCATAAAAAGGAACGTTCCCCATAACGGACCCAAATCTAGTTTGGCGGACCCCGCTTTGCACCAGCCCACATGCATATGTGTTTTTCCCTTGCCCACGCTTTTTGAGCAATTAAAATTTCTCTGTGCTCTGTGTGCCATTTTTGTTATTGCCGTGGCTCTGAATGCATTTTTCAGCGCTGAATGTTTTCTGTTTTCCTTTTTTCCGTTTTTGTTTGCTTGTAAAATAAAAATTACGTATACGCCAACAACTTCAAATGGCGCAACATGGCGTATGCGTGATGTTGTTGCTCTTACTGCCATATTTCGCTGCACACCGGCTGCCATTTCCGCACCAAACAAAAGCAAACAGCGCGAATGGCAGATACAACAGCCGCCCACTCCTTTCCTTCTCTCGAAAGGACCTCGCATATCTATAAAATACGCAATTACAACATGTTGCCGCAGTCGCCGTCCTCGACGCTGTTCGCGTTCCCGTGGCTGGGGCTCTCTTTATGAATTTATACATAACCCGCCGCAGCTGCACCTACCCCAGCCGAGGCCCTTTGCCCCACTAAGCGCCCCGCAGAGTGCACTCGCTTTGTTGCATCCACTCAGCAGTTGCCATTAGCGGAGTGCGATGCGAGTGGGGATTTAAAAATACATATCTTTGATATGGTAATGCTTAGAATGTCTAAGCTGTGTCCACGCCGAGGATGGTAGAGATCAAATCCGAGCCGGATCTCGGTAAGACGGGAATTATTCAATCTTCATTCGAGTTAAAGATCTCTCCTCAGTCCCGTGCTTTCAAGCCCTGCCCTTTGGTGACCCCAACGAAAAGCCAATGTTCAGCTCCTGCCGTTCCTCCCCACACCGTTTCAGAACAATCTCTGGCAAACAGCTCCGGCGAAGCTCGTTAGGAATTGGTTGTGTGCCGGGACTCCGCTTCGCTCTTTTATTGTCACTAGTTTTGTTTTTGTGCAGCCAGTTACAAATGGCAAGTGGCACACGCGGAGTGGTTCGCGGGGACACAAGGTAGGAGAGCCGGGTGCCCATGAGTTATGCCCTGCGATATGCGCACACTAAGTTAGTTTTGTATATTTTATGTGCAGTTAAGCGTTTTGCATACAGCATCTCGGCGGGAGGAGCAATAACAGAAACAGGTGTCGAGAGGGTCGCGAAAAACCCAGCGCAAAATAGCTTTGCGAACGAGTGTTGCAAGAGGGGAAGTCGTGGAATGGAGAGCTCCGGCCTTTCAGCATATGATTGTGAGTGCTTAATTGGTATCAAGTTGTTGCTTACTGGTTGGATGGGTACATGAGTGTGAGAGGAAAGACCAATTCTTCTATGGACTTAACGCTGTTATCTTGTCCTTACAAAATGTGTTCCCATATATGCGCTGATCTGATCAATGATTTTCTAAAATAGAAATCTTGGAACGAATTTCCTATCCGTTTTGCCTAGTACTCCTATTCCCAGCAGAAAACTTCGAATGGTCTGCAAAAACTATAAATTAAAACCGTAAAAAGAAAGCAGAAGAGAAAAATATTAAACCTTCTCGAGTGGCACCCACTGACTATGTAAGAGAGAGGGAAGGCCGAAGAACGAGTAGTACATGAAGTAATTGGAGCAATAAAACCAGAAACCGTGTGAATAAAAATAAAGGAAAGCTTCGACGACGACCGTGCTCTGGATACAATGATGTGGCTGGAAGGAAGCGTAGAGGCAGTTCCCGACTGCATCCTGGCAGGTAGTAAAGTAACGGGAATCAAAATAATAAATCAAAATTGTGTGAGGTTGTGCAGCAGCATCAGCCAACAGTTGGCAGGCAACTCCTGCAGTTCCCTGCTCCTCCTAGCCAAGAGTTGCCAGCTGTACTGCACCGACATGTCCCCGTGTTCGATCCTAGTGATGTGGGCGTGACACGCGGCAGTGGCAGAAAAACGCAGCACGCATTCTCATCTACTTAGGAAAATATATTAGATAATTATCTAGGAATTACTTTATTAAATTCTTAATCGCACGCGGAAACTTTTTGATTTAAAAATTCAGATTCGGTTCTAGGAAAAAGAAATAAATATAAAATTAAATCGAACTTAGAACTTACCCTAGGTGGTCATTCTTAGCTTTCGCTGTGATTATTTTTAATGAAAGTAAGCCCAAAGATTTAGACTTCCAGAATTTCGAATTTCAAAAATGTTCTTCTCTCTCGCACCTATTTTCGACTTCTCTCGCTCTCCATGTGTCTAAGAACCCAAACTTACACCGAATTTAAAATTGATCAATATTTTTTCGGTGTATACTGACTTTCCGAGTGGGCGACCCGACCAGGTTTCGAGTTGTTAAAATTACAAATAAAACAAGAAGAAAGCAACTGGGCAGAAGTTGATATACCCGCAGAATACCGTAAATTATATTCTCCAAAATTATTCATATGATGCATTCTTAATACTCATAAAATCGAACTTCCAACTTTAACAACAACAAAGTTATGGCATTTCCAATCGTTCAGTTATATGGCAGCTATAGGATATAGTCGGCCGATCCTTATGAAATTTGATAGGTCGGATTGATTGGCCAAAATAAAATCCATAGAAAATCCCAACTTCCTAACTTACAAACACCAAAGTTATGGCATTTCCGATCAATCAGTTATATGGCAGCTATAGGATATAGTCGGCCGATCCTAGAAATTTGGTAGGTCGGATTGATTGGCCAAAAATAAAATCCATAAAAATCCCAACTTCCTAACTTAACAAACACCAAAGTTATGGCATTTCCGATCATTCAGTTATATGGCAGCTATAGGATATAGTCGGCCGATCCTTAGAAATTTGGTGGGTCGGATTGATTGGCCAAATATAAAACCCATAGAAAATCCCAACTTTCTAACTTTACAAACACCAAAGTTATGGCATTTCCGATCAATCAGTTATATGGCAGCTATAGGATATAGTCGGCCGATCCTTATGGAATTGGTAGGTTGGATTGATTGGCCAAATATAAAACCCATAGAAAATCCCAACTTCCTAACTTACAAACACGAAAGTTATGGCATTTCCGATCAATCAGTTATATGGCAGCTATAGGATATAGTCGGCCGATCCCGGCCGTTCCGACTTATATACTGCGTGCAAAGGAAAGAAGGGTTGGCAAAGTTTCAATCCGATAGCTTTAAAACGAGAGACTAGTTTGCGTAGAAACAGACAGACGGACAGACGGACAGACGGACAGACGGACAGACGGACATGGCTATATCAACTCAGGAGGTGATCCTGATCAAGAATATATATACTTTATAGGGTCGGAGATGTCTCCTTCACTGCGTTGCACACTTTTGACCAAAATTATAATACCCTCTGCAAGGGTATAATAAGCATTGGAGGGAGTAGTGGAGCCGCGAAGCTGCCACTGCAAAATGTGGCATTTGATTTACGTTTGCAGTTGCTCGAAGCTCTTAAATAGTGCAGCTCCTGTGTTGAGCATCCTTTGCTCTCCGCCCACCGTGGTTCACTGTTAATGATCAAGTGGCATCCTGACTTGCGTTCCACCGGGGGGGTGGAGATAGCGGTGGCTGCGGTTGCTGGCAGCTTAAAGTAGTCGGTTAGTTGCCCGAGACCGCTTTGAGGTTCGCACCGAAACAGCACGAAAAAGCACGAGCAGCTAATGGCGTGTGGAAATCAATGGAAGTCAACCGGATTTTTATAATTTATGGCAAGCCACACTCCATAAAATGATAGGGAAAATTGCATGGAAGTCAAGTGACTACGAAGCGCTGATATTACAGAGAGAAGCTCTAGAAAGCCGTCACTTTCGCTCTCTAGCCACTAGAAATATTTCCCTTTTTTTAATTTCACAGGCATTTTATTTTGATTGACCATCCGCAGTGCCCCGGTCCCGGGGGTTCGGTTTCAATGCGCTCCTTGAAATTCCGACCAGCACTCCCGGGTGAAAATTAGCGTGTTTCGCTGCTCGGTTTACCGCTCAGCCGGTGAAACGGGAGCTTGATGCATCTCATATCCGTTATGATCGGCCTTTGGCCTGCTGTCAGTCGTTTGTTTAATTACGCGTTCGTTCTCTGCCGCGCGAAATTGGGTCAGGAGCGGAAAGTAATGCGAGTGTTGCATAGTTTCATTTAACTGGGCGCATTACGCTCGACAGGCAGCAAGCGACAGGCGGTGGCAACAACTACACATTCTGCAGCATTTGCGAAATCGTCGCAGCACTTAAAACGCCATAAAGTATGCAACAGAATGCAGACAA